CTCCTGGTGCACATGTGCAGAAAGTTACTGCAAGGTATATATTTAGGAGTGGAATTGCTGGGTCATATGGTATGCGTACATTTGACATTAGCAGGTCATGGCAAACACTTTTCTTCCCCTGGTGCCCGGTGTACAGCACTCTTCTGGTAGTTCTTTTGCTAGCTCACCTTTCTTTGTCAGCCCTTCAATGTTGAAGTCCCTTAATTCTTGGTGTTAGGACCTTTCTTTTTTACTCTATACTCTGCCAAGGGGATCTCATTTATTTTCCGAGGTCAGAGCTCTCCTTTGAACTCCACATTTGTATATCCAAGTGCCTACTTAATACCCAGTCTTGGTTGCCTTAAAGGCACCTCAGATCTGACCTGTCCAAGTCCAGATTAATTATTATTTTTTTCAGATTGATGATTTTTACCATCCCCTACCCCATCCAACCTGGTCTTTTAGTTTTGCATATTTCAGTTGAATGGTACCACTACTTATCCTATTATACAAACCAGAAATTCAGTATCATTCTTGATACCTCTGATTCCCTTTCCATATTCTATCCATCACCAAATTTTTAGTATATTTTTAAATTGATTTACTAGAGGAAGGGAGAGTGAGAGAGAGAAACATCAATGATTCTATCTCTCTGGGGATTGGACCCGCAACCTGGACATGTGCCCTTGACCAGAATCGAATCCAGGACCCTTTAGTCTGCTAGCTGACTCTCTAGCCACTGAGCCAAACCAGCTAGGGCTATCACCAGAATTTTTGAAAAGCCATCTCTATTTTTCTTTTTTTTTTTAGTAATTTCAGAGAGGAAAAGAGAGAGAGAGATAGAAACATCAATGATGAGAGAGAATCACCCACTGTCCACCTCCCTCATGCTCCACATCGGGGATTGAGCCTGCAATCTGGGCATGTGCCCTGACGGGGAATCAAACCGTGACCCTCTGGTTCATAGACTGATGCTCAACTACTGAGCTACGGCGGCCGGGCCCATCACCAAATTTTATCTAATTTACCTCCTAGATAACATTGTTGGCTTCCTCTATCCTAGCTCAGGTCCCATTACCTCTTGCCTAGAATACTTCACTAGCCTTCAGCTAGTCTCTCTGCATCAGTTTTGGACATCTTCTGCTTATTTTTCCAACTACAGTCAAAGGAATAAAAACAAAATAAAACCAAAGCACCTCCCATTTCACTACTTCCTTTCAGTGACTTCCCACTGCTCTTAGGATAAAGGCAAGGCGTTCAGTTATTTGGCCACTGCTGACCTCAGCAGCCTTATCTGATGCCCACCACCTCAAACTCTGTGCTTCAGAAACATAAGCCTGCTTCTCAGACATTCTGTTCCTCCCACCCTCCCCATGCCCTTTGCCTCGGTGTTCTCTCTGGTATGCTCCTACCCCTCTCCTCAAATTTACCTGCCATTCGCCCATTAGATCCCAGTTTAAACATTCCTTCTGCAGAGAAGCCTTCCCCAGCCTCCAGACCAGGCCAGGTTCTCTCATTGTAGGTACTCATGCCACCCTGGGTTTTTCTTCATGACAGCTGTCATTGCATGCATTTAGACATTTTGGTAAATAATGATTAATTTCTGTCTCCGTTAGTAGATTATAAATCTACTAAAAGGTCCCCGTAAATATCAGTTGAATAAATGGATGTTGAATGATAACTATGATTATTAGGATCTCTCATGTCTTTATTATTGTTATAGGGTCCTGCTCAGTGTGCTGTGGGCTTTTGCACTTCTTTCTGAAGGTCTTTCTGAGCATTTTCTTCTGGCAATTCTAGTAGAGTGGGACAGTATCTGTTCCTCCCACCCTCCCCATGCCCTTTGCCTAGATGTTCTCTCTGGTATGCTCCCTTCCCCTCTCCTCAAATTTACCCACCATTTGCCCATTAGATGCCAGTTTAAACATTCCTTCTGCAGAGCAGCCTTCCCCAGCCTCCAGACCAGGCCAGGTTCTCTCATTGTAGGTACTCATGCCACCCTGGGTTTTTCTTCATGACAGCTGTCATTGCATGCATTTAGACATTTTGGTAAATAATGATTAATTTCTGTCTCCGTTAGTAGATTATAAATCTACTAAAAGGTCCCCGTAAATATCAGTTGAATAAATGGATGTTGAATGATAACTATGATTATTAGGATCTCTCATGTCTTTATTATTCTTATAGGGTCCTCAGTGTGCTGTGGGCTTTTTGCACTTCTTTCTGAAGGTCTTTTCTCAGCATTTTCTTCTGGCAATTCTAGTAGAGTGGGGCAGTGGTGGTCATTCATTGTTGATTCATTGCTCATTCAGAACCTCAATCAGAAGCATTTTACCTATATTCTCATTGAATTCTCACAATTCTATGAGGTAGGTATCTAATGATTTCCTTTCATAGTTGAGGAAACTGAGGCACAGAGAAGGTAGGAAACTTGCCCTCGGTCATCGAATTAGTAAGGAATGGGGCTAGAATTTGAATCTGTCAGCTTCTTCCACAGTCCACACTCTAAATACAATGCTGTGGAGTCCAAGACACACTGATACAGTCAGCCAAGGCGGACAGTATGTGAATACGTGTCCTCAATCTAAGTGCTGTTATAGTCCAGAGAGGAGAGGG